AGGAATGCCCTAGCATTCTGTACCTCTAAATTCTACTCATTTTCTGAGGCCAAATTTAAGTTTCCCTCTTCCAGAAACCTTCCCCTAATGCCCTTTTCCCTTCCCCCAACACTGGCAATGTATCTCTATAGCACTCAATTTCAAGCCTTTTTTATGAGTTTTACATGAGTTTCGAACAAAAGTAGAGAACTGCTTTGGTTGGGTAGATTTTAAATCAATCTCCTTATTTTATACAGTGGTGCTTCTCATTATACTATTCTACACTGTAATATTGTATTATATTGTTATACCATAATGTGTTTGTCTGAGCTTCCAAGAATACAAATGCCTTTAAAGTCCATGTCTTGTATTTCTTTTTATCCTACAGAGTTCCTAGTTGAATTAGTCCTTGCTGCATTGCATCCATGGACCAGAATTATAGAGACTATTCCATATTGTAGACTGTACAGCGATGAGATCAAACTACCTTGGAGAATAATCTCCGAACTGCTGTTCCCCCGAATATGGCCCCAAACAGCAGCTGGGAGGATGACTAATCTTCCCCAAGTTCCTAAAACTCATAACTCACAAGAACATCAGGGCCAGGCAGTCCATTCATCAAGGGGACAAATAACTAGAAAAATCAGGAAGAGAGCTTCGGAGTAAGGATGCAAGTATGACCCACAGAAAGGCAGAAGGGCTCACTTATATAACTATCTTTGTAAAGTTCTACTATATACACAACAGCACTCAGGATAATGAAGGTTTATCTTATAAAATTCCTTCAAAAATGTACTGTCACGAGCATATTGGAAGAAAGGAAGAAGGAAGGAAGGAAGGAAAGAAGGAAGGAAGGGAGGGAGGGAGGGAGGGAGGGAGGAAGGAAGGAAGGAAGGAAAGAAAGGAGGAAAGGAAGAAAGGATGGAAGGAAGAAGAAAAGAAAGAAAGAAGAGAAAAGAAAGGAAAGAAAAGGAGGGTGAAAGAAAGGAAGGGAGATAAGAATAGAAAAATAAAGGAGCCTTTTTTTTTTTCTTTTTTTTTTTTACAATGGGAGGAGACTTGATTTTGGAGTCTTATTAAGGCAATAGAGAAACCAACAGCCTTGGTCCTAATGTGGGAGACAACTATCATCAAATGCTGTGTGTTGGGGTGGGGAAAGGGTGATGATCTCTTCTTTTCCACAATTAGAAGTACTGATTAAAGTACTTCCTCTACCCTAGAGGATATGCAAATTAAAATGAGGCTGCTGGGTATTTTTTCAAAGGCAGAGAGGAAAGGACATTTATTTGGATATTTTGAGAATGAGCTTACTTCATTATTCCTTCCTAGCCAAAATCAGTAGCCAACATCTAGAAATAGAGATGTGACTTTCACCCCAATTCTCTTCCGTAATCCATCCTTGGACATCTTATTTCTGAGAGCCATTCCCCTACAAGTTCTTATACTTCAAAGTTTCTAGTCTTCCACTTCTTACACTCACTCACACTTACTTCCTGTTCTCTTTGCCCTCATTTGGAAATTCCAAGCCTTGCTCTATCTCTAAGCACAGTCATCAGTCCTCACCTGGCCTCATCTGACATCTCCTGCCTCACTTACAACCTTTCAGTGTTGTTCCACAGGGCATACTGCAGCCCCTCCTCCATAGCTCTTCCACTGTCCTGTCTTGCCCATCTCCATTTTTCCTGCTGCTCCCAGGCTGCCAAGCATTGTTGAACAAATATATGCCATTACTCTCTGAGATTACACTCTCACTTATTATAGGGACTCCTAGGGGAAAATCTCCCAAATAGCCTGAAATTCCCTGATAGCAGACATGTTATTATCTAAAATAAGGTAGACCAGTCCTTTCCCTTAAGATATCTGCAGGGAGGCAGAAGGTACAAGATACCAATTCCCAAAGAGAAGTACCTCTTTTCAGTAATACAGCTGGTTTGCTCTCTTAATATATGGTTCCCTGAACAGATAAAAAAGTAAGTTGTCCCTTTAAAATTCAAATAAAGAAAAAGAGAGTTCTAATGGTATTCCTAGGGTAGAGGCTGTACTTGGATGAAATTATAGTTATAATTTTACTAAGACTCCATAACCTCTGCCCAAGGAAAATAACAAGAAGGTCAGAATCAGCTGTCCTCCATAAAAAGGAAGTCCACTGAAGCCTGAAGACACTCAGTTGTAAGGTTCTTCCCTGTGATCCCTCTATCTTTACTGTCCTCAATTACTAAGAAAGCAGTACTAACTCAAAGATAGTCCTCTTCAAACAGGGAGCTAAAAGAAGGACCGACAGTATCTACCATCTTTGGGGGACATTACATTTAACGAAGACTAAAACTACGTGTAAAAGTCAAAAGACAAATGACAAACTGAGAAACATAAATAAACATATACACTCTATCTCCTATCACACGGGACTGATCTTAAACACATAAAGAGTTCCTGAAAATCAATAACAAAAAGACTAACAATCCAATAGAAAAAGGGCAAAGGGCATGAACAGACATTTCTCAAAAAAAGAAATAAAAACGACCTTTAAGTGGGTTAAAAGATGTTTAAAATCATTCATAAGAAAAATGCAAATTAAAAATACACTGTGATACTATTTCTTTCCTAACACATTGGCCGTGGAGAGAGACCAATTCTATGTTATTGAGATGAGTGCAAAATGTGACACCTTATACAGAAAATTTGTCAATCTCTACCAAAGTTACAATTTCAGTGCTTCATTCACTGGAGATATATCAGTGCACGAAACTGACAAAAGTCCCTGCCCTTGTGGGCTTTTATTCTTTTGAAGAGAGAAGGACAATAATAAGCATAATCATAGTATATTAGAATGTGATGTGTTATGCAAAAAAAGAAGAGATCCGGGTACAGTAGATTGGGAGTGACAGGACATTAGTCGCAATTTAATAGGACCCTTTGGGTAGGTTTCATTTAGGAGGTGTTATTTGAGTAGTCTTGAATGAGCTAGGGAAGAAAGCAGTAAATATATCTTTATTAAGAGAATTCTAGGCAGAGAAAATAGCTAAGTGTAAAGTCCCTGTGGTAAGAATATACTCTGGTATTTAATCTGAGAGAAATAATGATGCATATTGAAGAGTTCAAAGCAGAGGAACAATATAATCTGACCTGTTTTTAACAGGTTCCATCTGGCTGTCTGCTAAGTATTGGTTGCAGAAGTACAAGAGTGGAAGCAGAAAGACCAGTCAAAGGACTGATGAGCAATGATGGTGGCTTGGAGTAGAGTAGTAGCTGAGTAATAAATCCTATATATTGAAGGTGGAGCTAAAAGGATTTCTTGATTGATTGAATGTGAATTGGAAAACAAAGCTGGAATCAATGATGACTCAAAGTTTTTGAATTAAGCAACCAGACACTGAAATAAAGAAGATCATGAGTGAATCTGATTTTGAGCAGTGAAGATCAAGAGTTAATTTGGGCAGTGAAGATCAAGAGTTAGTTTGCTATGTTTGAATGGGTTGAGTGACCCACTGACCTAGCAAGTCTGATTCTGGAATCTGTTCTACATATTCGCCTGCACATGTACAAATTCATGTATTCAAGTTGATATACTATGTCCCTGTATCACTGAAAGGTCAAGAGTAACTAGGACTAGAAATAGCTGTACTTCTTAAAGTACAGCCCTGCTGATTTCACTTCCCTTCCCAAAAACCTACAACGGCTTCCCATTGCTTTCAGAATTCAGTCCAAATTCCCTTACCACGCAGTACAGATTCTGACACAAAGAACCCTTTCCAAACTTTACCCAACGCACTGCCCAAAAGTAAGACTCAGTGTTCTGCTCCAAAGCACCACATTGTCTCATCTCTGCTTTTGGCTAGTCTGTTCCTGTCTACAATTCCCATCCTGCACAGCTCCACACAGCTGCACGCTACCTGTTATGCATTTCCTGGTGCTGTTGATGATGCTCCCATCTGGAAAGCCTTCTCATGCTATGTCCATGACTTCTGAGCTTCTCCCATAATGTGTGTTATGTGCACAAAATGTCTTTCCTTACTTCTTCAACAGCAATCTCCTTAATAACTATATCTGTAAATTACTCAACTTCTTATACCCTAAAGTATTTAGCATGTTTTATATTTTTAAAAAATATGATATAAATGAACAAATGAATTGATTTTATGTAAAAAAGAAAATCTCCACTTCTGATATGATGCTCTAAAAATGAAAGTCTTTAGAAATTTATATATACAAGAGCTTCAGGATTCCCCTGGGTTCTCTGGTGGACTAAAAAATGCAAAAGCTCTGCACTCTTCTCACAACCTTCCTTTCTCATCCCCATCCCAAGACTGTTATGCTTGCAGTTCTACTTCTCAGGTCTCGAAAATGTATTTCACGAATCAAGTGCTTCACATTTCATGCAAGGGCAGGTTTATCTTCCATGCAGGGGATAGAACTGAAGAGAAGAGATTATGTAGTTCAAATTTCTTAGATGGCATGACTTACCAGGAAAAGGACTTCACATGTTCTTGAATCATGATCCAGGTCTGGCCAAAATCATCTGACTTCCACAGCTAGAAAGACAAAAGCAACAAGAACTGGTCATGATGCAAGAGGCAGACACAACCTGAATGGCATCACCAAAGACCCACTGAAATCTATCCTAGAAAACATGCTCTCTGTGAAGACAGGCACAGAGATCACCAAGGCCAGCTCAGTTACTCCAAATGCAAACAAGGGCAGGAAAGGAAGGACAGAATGCACCTTTGCATTCTTCTCCATAGTTACTAAGGTCTCACTAGAAGGCATCTAGAAAGGAAAAATGATTATGACTTGTCTTTCATTTATAGGTTATCAGAAATTATATTTTAGCCAAGAGAAGCCCTCAGGTGATGGTAAAAACAAAAGGATTATACTTGGTAGTTCTCACTGAGAAACAGTGTCCTTAAAAACCCATAATGGGCCATGGTGATTAAAGCTGAATGGAAAGGACACTGGCTAAGCACAGAGCCGAAAAGTACCAAGGTGAATCAACTGAACACACAGGGTGTGGCCATAAGTAATTGCTGATCTTTGCCAAAGCTGCTCAGCTTCCAAATACATACACATCCCGAGGATTCCTCTGGCCCTTGCAACCGTGTAGTAAGAAGCGAGAGACCAAAAATACCAATAATTCATCTACATTGGTAAGCTGGCCCTGCTCACACTTAGGTTCCTCCATAAGGGATGTGAAGGTAATGTTTTGGCTAAACAACTTGCTAAGAAAAAGAAACGTTTTAAGATTCCTTTGAACAAAGCCATTCAAAACTCATAAATCCAATCCTATACAGGTTTCATAGGATTATGCCAGATCAGTATTCTTGACTTGGCAAGTTTTAACCTTGAAATATAAATCCTACTCAGGCTTCCTCCCAATCACTTACCTTTCCTTCAAATTTGGATTAAAGGAGGAAAATACACACATTTATATTACATGCACATGTATACACAAACACTAAAAAAGAATATTAATGTTAATGGCAAATTCAAATAAATGGTAGGCAAAAGCAGTGTGTTTAAGGTGGCGGATAGGAAAAGCACAATAGAAATTCGACAAGTGGTCCCAGTAGAGCTCAGACTTCTCTACCTGGCTCTCTCCAATTAATTTTCAGAGCCTCAATTTGCCCTCAGGACTAACAAAGGTACATCTACACCAAGAAAGCCATGATATTTAACTAATAGAGCCTTCCAAGTGCTACATGTTGCTCTCTAGCTGGGATGCAGATTGAGAGTGCCAGGAGAATATATTTTTCCTTAGCCATGGAAAGTGAAACAGTAGCTACAAAGGTTAAGCCTCTTAAGGAGGAGGGAGGAACCAGGGGGAGGTCACTCAAAAGACATGCAGTCCACACAAGCAGAGGGCAGAGCATAAAACATGAGGAGCCCCACCTGTGTTCCAGAAGCTCTCTTACCTGCTTGTTGGGGTGAGACCTGTCAAAGCCCAGGAGAAGATTGGAGGCCTTACTATGCAAAAGGAGATCAGCTGCCCGGAATGGGATGGAAAAGCCTTGAATAGTGTTGCAGAAGTCAAACGTGATCCAGAGGTACTGGGCATAAGCATCTGTAAAGATGTACTGCAAGAGAAAAGAGATGAGCTTAGAACATGACCTGGCCAGCGCCACCCGACACCCCTCAAACAATGTTTGAGCACACACAAATGCAGGGGCTAACCAGCACCAACCCAGTGCCAAGGATTTGCAGGACTTCCACATGGCATTCTCACTGTCTCCTGGCAATGAAGAGATGCCAGTGCACACCAAACAAGGCTCAGTGAAGGAAGGGGTGCAGGATGGGCTGGCAGGGTGAGTCACACAGTGCTCTCATTTAGCTAAGTAATGAAGCTGGTCAAGGCTTTCTATTTTTTCTTTCAAATGACAGCCATTCTCACTCCCTGGTGAATCACTTGGTCACAATCAGAGGGTGGCTACTAGAAACTGGGACAGAAAAGTCCTGCTCTTCAGACTGGCTGCACACAGATTGGACGGCTGTCTATCCTCTTGCATGCCTTTCCAGGAAAATCCCTAAAATCACACCCAATTACAAAAATTAGATTCACTCTCTTGCCACCAGGTCAGGTGATAGGGCAGCACTGGGGCTGGCTGACTCTCTCTGGGACACAGCAGGAAGTAGTTCCGGTAAGCAAGGGCCTCACCTTATTTTGCTTCCACACAACCGAGTGACTTAGAACAAGTTTGGCTGGAGAATGACTGCCAGTCTAAAGAGTTTTTGAGGCGAAAGGATTCAATTTAACAAATATGTATTTGAATATTCACCATAGACCAGACGTTGGGAGTGCCAGAGTGAAGGATGCTTACAGAGTGCCAGGATCCTTCCTCTTAAGTAGATTAAAATCTAATATGGGAGAAAGACAGGTCCATAGCTAACTATATGTAAAGGGAAAATGAGATTAAATGAGAAACGATGGACAGTCCTACGAAAGCGCAGACTACAGGTTATAGTTTTTTAGATCAGAAATGATTCCAGGTATGATTTAGGCCTTG